GGCACAGTGCTATCCACTAAGCGGCAGGGACACTATTTGATCCACGACTGCCTGACCCTTCAAGGTCTATTTTCTTACTGTTTGCTGAAAGTGTGGATGGTCAGAATCTATTGGTTGGAGTAGAACACTCAGGGACCTCCTTAAGGGACGATTGCTCTCCCTTTGTCTGTGCACGAAGGGAAGCTGCCATGACCTGTGGGTACGCGTCTGTCCTCAATGGTCCTGTCTCACAATTCTCCTTTCAAACGTCTTGAAGCAGTGGCGCCAAAGAAAGGGAGAAGATGCAGTGCGGGCTCCAATCTGTGGTGTCAATCTTTGCCTTTCCTTTTCGTGAGCTTCTCTTGGTAGCCATTTAGGATAATTTTGCATTTGCAAATGCATTTTTTAAAATTTTGTTGGGTATATGGGTGTTTTGTCTGCAGATGACTGGTACCCACAGTACTGGAAGAGGGCATTGGATCCTCTGGGACTGGAGTTTTAGAACGTTGTGAGTTGCCATGTGAGTGCTGGGAACTGAACTCTGATTCTCTTTAAGAGCCACCATAGATTTTCTTTTGAGCCATCTCCTCAGTGCCTGAAAATCCATTTTTATTGGGTTTAATGAGGCATAATTTGCATATGATGAAGTTTACCAATTTTGGTTGTAAACTGGATGAGTTTTGATAAATGCATGCAGTCTCATAACCACCATGACTATGATCCAAACATTTCACCACCTTAAGTTAACAAGCTTCCTTACGCCGCACAGTAAGACACGCCATCATTCCGTGTCTCCAGAAACAACAAATCTGCTTCCTTTTGCTGTAAATTTATTCTTTTCTAGATTTTCACCCATTTGGAATGTGGGACACAAATGTGTTCATTTTTATTGCTGAGAAATAACACTTGGAGTGTTATGGAGTTCAAGACTACCAGGAAAAGCCTAGACTCAATACAGATTAAAATCAGTCAAGTTTATTAAAACTGCTAGCAGTGCTGCAGTCTCTAAGCATTGTTTCTAAGCCAAATCAAAGACACATAACAGAGAAGCTGATGAGGGAGGGCTTTTAAAGGTGAAGACAATTACTTCATTTCTGCAGAGTTTGCAGTCACGTGAGGAACTGCCTCACTCCTGCACACACTAATAAGCAAGTTTACAGAAGCCAGAGCAAGCAGTTCATCATTTCACAACAGTTGCGCTGTTCTGGGGGAGGGAGCAGATTGCCAGGAGCTCATCTTTCAGGAATTTAGTTCAGAGGGCAGCATCAGCTAAAGGGGGTGCCTGGTACAAAATTGGAGTTTCCTTAAGCGTCTGTCACAAGAGCAGCCAGACCAAGTTTCTCTCTTCAGCAGTTGACAGATCTAGGGTGTTCGGTGTTTTTAGGTATTGCTAATGAAGTTGCCTCTAATACTGATGCAAATCTGAGTCAGGATGCATATTTCTCCACCTCCCATGAACCACTGCTTGTAGAATATTCTATGCTTCCAGAAAATATTCCAACTGTGTCATATGGCATATGATGTAAGAACTTTCCATGATCTACAATCCCAGATGTTGGGAAACTATGTCAGAAGGATCACCATTAGTTTGGTGGCAGATGAGACAACAGTACAGAATTTGAAGCCAGTGTGAACAACAAAATGTGACCCTGTCTCAAAAAAATAAATATTTTTTTTCTATAAATTTCTATTTTTCTGCATTATCTGTAAGTATTTTTCCAGGCCAAGTTTATGTTCTTCGATGGCAAGAACTAGGAATAGATGTGAATGTGACATGCTTCTTAGTTCTTACATCTAAAATGACTGCATACCATGACAAAAATGTCAACTCTTAGTGTCTTTGTTAATATGTGGAAAACATGTTACCTGGGGCTGGCTTGTGCCTCCTCCCCACTAAGTTAGTGCCATGAAACCCTAATATACCCCTCAGCATGGTTGTGTCTGGAGTGGTGATCTTTAGAACATTCCCATGGTCATGAGAGGGAATACTAATCTGATAGAAGAGAAACAGCTTCCATTCTTTCACCATGTGAGGACATAGAAAGTGATCACAGGCAAAGATTTCTTTACTAGTCAATAAGCTGCCTGATTTCCCAGCCTTGGGCTTTCTGACCTCAAGAACTGTTAAGAAAATGAACTGCATCAGGCTACCAAGTCTGCAGTATTTAAAAATGGCAGCCCAAGCTGGGTGACATCCATGGTTGGAGGCGAGAACGTTACCCATCTGCTGTTGGGATCCTGGGAGGCTACTGTGGGTGGGATGGAGGAAGGAGCATGTCTAGCACTCGCCTTTAGTAGTCTTGTGGCATTCTGCTTTGACACAAGCAGTAGCAGCAGGTGGTGTCTTGTCTCGACTCTCATGCAGGAAGCCTCAGGTGTGAGGACCCTTATCCCTGCCATATCTTACCTCAGTTCTACAAATGTTATCACTCAGCTGGCGCTTTCAGACCTAGCGGCCCAGAATCCTTGGCTCTTGACTGTGGCCTTTTACAGTTTCTCAGCTTAGGGTCTTTAAGACCCCTGGTCCTGAAGACTGCCATTACCAATTTTTCTGTTGTTGTCATTATTTCTACTGCCTTCACTGCCGCTCCTCCACTGCTACAGCTTCTCCTCAACTCCTGCTCTTGCGGTTCCTCCATTCCCTTGGCTTCCTCTTTGCCACCTCTGCACCTCAGCCTGCAACTGCTGCAGCATCACTGCCACTGTTCTATAGTCTTTGCTGCCTCTGCTTTCTGTCCTTATCTTGGGCCTTCCTACTAAAAGAAAGCTAGGAAGGAGCTCTCAAGAGAAGCCTTTATTGTAGCTTCAGAGGAGGCAGCAAGGAGGTGTCTCTCCCCATTCACCCATGAGCAGAGCATCCTGCTTTTACATACATAGGCAGAGAAAGGTGTTTGCACCAGGCACAGCTTATCTTTCATGCAAAGAAGCCTGTGTCATATCTACCACCACCAATCATAGCATTGCACCTTCCAGCCAGGGAAAGCAATCCCCATGCAAGGCCACTAGGGAACCAGTTCTCTGGCTTCAGTATAAATGGTTGGGTTTCTAATGCAGGGTGGTAGAGTACACCAAGGCTTGTGACAGCATGGAGTGTGATGTTGACAGAGACAATCCTGGTGAGGTTTACACCTTGAAGAATTGTAGCAAACAGCTGTGATCATTTTGTACATTCCTCAAGGAGTCCAGAGTGTTAAAAAAAAAATGACTGGCTCCGACTTTTTGCTCAAAGGAACAAGAGTCCCACAGCTGCCAATTGGACGGAGGGTTAAATGGCTGTCACCCTTCCACCTGTCTTTGCTTATTTATTTATTTATATTTCCATTTATTTATTTACTTATTTATTTATGGCTTGTAAGTTTTATTTATAAATTGATAACTCAGGAAACAGCAGTACTGGTAGACAAGCGGACATATGAGCTCACAGACGCGGTGACAGCACACCCAAGACCTGCAGCACACCCAAGTCAGCCAAAATCCCAACACTGAAAGGAGGAAGTGAACACAAAATCCCATCCTTAACCCAGAAGCTACTTGAAAATGATGCCTTCTGGGAAAGGGGAAATCTGTTTTCTTCAGTGGCGTGTCACTGGGTGTATCAACCACATTCCAGGGTGGGCCCCAAGCCCAGGAGGAGTTGACCAATATGTAACAGACCCCATACTTTTCTTATGCATCTCTCTCCTACTTGGCTATGCTTGTTTTGTGGGGTTTTTTTTGTGTGTGTCATTGATTTTATTACATTTTTTTTTAACAGAGAGAAAACATGAGTTGGGTGGATAGGAAGGTATGGGTAGATCTTGGAAGACCTAGGGAGAGGAAAATATGATCAAAACACATTGCATACATTTTATAACAAAAATCAAAATAAGTAGGGTCTTGGAGATGGCTTTAGTGGTTATGAGCACTGGCTGGTCTTCCAGAGGATCTGGGTTCAATTTCTAGTACCCAGGTTCAATTTCTAGCACCCAGATGCATCTCACAACTGTCTGTAACTCCAATTCCAGAGAATCTGACACCTTCACACAAACATACATGTAGGCAAAACACCAGTGCACATAAAATAAAAATAAATATAACAATAATTTATTTATAACAAAAATAAAATACAGAATTTAATTGAAAAATTTGTATTTTTCAGAAAAGGGATACTAAAAAATTCTTCAGGATGATATGGAATTCCACTAGCAAAACCTGGTTCAAATCCCCAATGCAATCTTACTAATCTTGCTGTTCCTTTTCATAAATGGGAAAATTTTAGCCTTGTTTTAGTGATTCAGTTGTCAATTAAACTGTTATACAAACTTAAACAAGTTCAGAACATTTTAAAACTGTTTTCTGTAGCATGAGGGGCCGGCTTATTGGGGTTTCTGTTCCCGCCTAGTACCCCACAACCAACAAGTCCCAGAGAAAATCAATCACACAGAGATCTCTATAAGTTATAAAGCTGATTGGTCCATTAGATCAGGCTACTTATTAGTTCTTATGACTTATCTTAACCCATTATTCTGATCTATGTTAGCCACACAGGCTCAGTACCTTTCTCAGTGTGACAGCTTACATGTTGCCTCTTCGGTGGTCTGTGCAGGAGTGGCAGAGGAAGCTTCTGCTTCCCAGAATTCTCCTGTTCTCATTGCATCACCTCTGCTTCCTGTCTGGTTTTCCCGCCTATACTTCCTGCCTGGCCAATCAGCGTTTTATTAAAATATGATTGACAGAATACAGACAATTCTCCCACACCAGTTTTCTTTATTTATTTTAGCATAGGTTGAAGACGGTCAGTTCTATTTTTCCACCATGTGGGTTCCAGCAATGGAACGCGGTGTCAGGCTTGTGTGCCTTTATTTGCTGAGCTGTCTTACCATCCTGCGTCTTTAATCTGGATTTGGGAGTTTCCTTTCAAGTGAATTCTCTTCCAAATACTAACTAAACCTAAAAAAATAAAGCATCGACATACCCGGAGATAGGATATAAAGATGGCTTTCCAGGTAGTAATGGCTGTTGTCATGTTTGTATTTTGTCAGGCTGTTCCAGAATCAAGCACTGGAAAGGGCTGTGCAGGTCCAGAACACAGTCCTAGCCGTCCTTCTGCTTCTACAATGGGAAGACTGACCTGATGCTAGCTCTCCAGCAGCCCAATGGGAACCATGTGGAAGCCACTGCACAGCTTACAGATCCTCCACCTCCAAGCTCCAGACAGACACCGTCCAGAAATCTGTGTTTTAATTTCCTAATTAACTCTGGTCACTCCTCAGGTCTGGTCCCTTCTGATGTTCTCTTCTTGGTAACGATTTACATTTGGAAGTATATGTTTGCTTTTCAAGACTTAGGACTTTTTATTATCTTTTTATTTTTTTTTAAAAATATCATTTTAAATGAACGGACTCAATAAATATGCTGGCTAATAGGTCTGATAGTAAATTAAAGGCAGACATGGTTTACGGTTTAAGAAAATGTGTTTTCTTAAGGTGTTAGTTGAGCACAATACTTAAAGCCTTATGCACAAAGAACTTACAGATCACATGTATTTAATAACAATTATTTAGTTGTTGGGTAAAGTATTTTGAAGATTAACTACACAATTTGACACCAAAGAATAGATGTGTCAAAGGAAATCACTTTATATTGTCAAAGCCACAAGCCACGTGACAGGACGCAGATTAATAGAAATGGGTTAATTTAAGTTACAAGAGCTAGCTAGAAACAAGGTTGAGCTTTCATAATTAGGAAGAAGTCTCCATGCCATTATTTGGGAACTGGCAGCACAGAGAAGGATTTGCAACACAAACTTTAAATTTTTCTACTGCAAACTTCAGCACGACTGTAGAAAGGCACACTCTCAGGAGGGCCGAGAGTTCTGTACAGCAGGTGTCTTTTGTCAGAGAGCTCATAAAGGAGTCTTGTGCCTTCAGAAGAGAGTAAAGAGTATTACGGTTCCAACTTAGGACTGGCTGGGAGGGAAGCCATTTTTGCTTCTTTATAAGAAGATGAACATCGAGGGCTGGAGAGATGGCTCAGAGGTTAAGAGCATTGCCTGCTCTTCCAAAGGTCCTGAGTTCAATTCCCAGCAACCACATGGTGGCTTACAACCATCTGTAATGGGGTCTGGTGCCCTCTTCTGGCGTGCAGGCATACACACAGACAGAATATTGTATACATAATAAATTTAAAAAAAAGAAAAAAAAAGAAGATGAACATCGAAAGAAATGTTTGTATAAGATCCTAAAGAGCTAGGGCTGGGAATGTAACTAACTCAGCTGGTCAAGAGACCTTGACTAGCCTGCTCCAAGCCCTGCATCCTGCGCCCAGCACTGCACAAACCAGGTCGTACACATCTGTGATTGTAGCCCTCAGGAGTTGGAGGCCGGAGCATCAAGATTCCACGGTTAGGGTTTCTCTTGTTGTAATGAAGCACCATGGCCAAAAGCAAACTGGAAAGGAAAGAGTTTATTTCACTCACACTTCAATATAACAGTTCATCTTCACAAACAGTCAGGGCAGGAACTTGGAGGCAGAAGCTGATGCAGATGCCATAGAGAAAAACTACTTCCTTGCTGCCTCTTCGTGGTTGGCCAGTCGGCTTTCTTATAGGACTCAGGACTTTCATCCCTGGAGTGGTACCACCAACAATTATTAATGTGGCCCTCCCACCTCAATCACTAAATTTAAAAATACCCTTCAGGCTTTCCTACAGTCTGATATTATGGAGGAATTTTCTTAATTTAGGTTCCCAACTCTTATACTCTCAGATGACTCTAGCTTGTGTCAGGTTGACATAAAACCCAGCTAAGACAGTTACCCTTGGCTGCAAAGAAAGTTTAATGCCAAAATACTTTTGGCATTTCAAAGCTAAAAGTTTTCACTAAAAGTGAAAGGCTAAAAAAGAACTTATGATAATAGTGATTTTAACAGTTTTAAATATTGTTTTAATAGTGCTTAACACCTGTCTAGTTACCCTGGACATGTAGGTTCTCATTTGTCTTAAGAAGATCAGAGAACTCACAGGTTAGGATATTGGATGGACCAGTCACAGGGGTGCAGATGCCATAAAGAATGGGGACCAGGGGGCTGGAGAGATGGCTCAGCCGTTAAGAACACTGGTTGCTCTTCTAGAGGTCTGGAGTTCAATTCCCAGCACCCACATGGCAGCTCACAACTGCCTGTAACTCCAGGTCCAGGGCATCTGACCCTCACACCAATGAACATAAAATAATAAAATAAATAAAAAAAGAATGGGTACTAGATAAAGAGAAAATCAGCTCAGAGGGCTAGAGTCAACACCTTCCTTTCCGTATACTGGTTGGTGTTCCTCAGATGTCAGTGGATGAAAGTAGTTCTTGTGTGACATTCCTGATGCCATTGACTTTTAAGGAATTCTAATGTCTGGTTGGTGGAGGCTGCTTGTTCATTCCTGGCTGCCCAGACCACGAAATAATCACTCAGAAGCTGTATTATTTAAATCACTGCTTGGCCAACCACTTAAGCATATTGTTAGCTAGCTCTTATATCTTTGGTTATCCCATTTCTATTATTTTATATTTTACCACAAGGCTTGTGGTTTATGGATGTGTCTGTCTCTGGCCACAGCTGCATAGCATCTCCCTGACTCTACCTTCTTTCTCCCGGCATTCAGTTTAGCCACACCCCCTAGCTCTACTCTGCCCTATCACAGGCTAAGGCAGCTTCTTAATTCATTAACAATACATATACAGAAGGACCTCCCTCATCAGTGTCTAAAGAATGAAGCAAGAACAATGTTTTAGGAACAGCAAAATGAAGCCAGGAAGACAGTTATCTCTTATTCCTCATGTGCTTGGGGCATGAGAACGCAGAATTATGAGGAACATAGTAGAGATTTGGGAGGAAAAGGAGATATGAGTATGGGATCCGACTGTGTAAATCAGAAGCTTGGACTCTAATGATGGCAGACGTCAATAGAAAGATATGGTGTGACAAGCTGGCAGCAGGCAAGTGTAGTATTTAGACTTGACTGTATGGCTCCGTGGCTTTGGGCTACAGTTTATCTCTGCCTCTCTGACCAGATTCCCAAGACCAAAACGGAAGCTCTGCTCAAGGTGTGAATGACACCAGACACGCTGTGCTCATCTATGGACTCAAGGTTTTGTAAAGATGCTGTGGATTTAGTGATCCCTCTTTCTCACAATCTGTCATTTTCAACTCAAATCAAATTCATCTTCTACTTCAGCCATCACCAGTCACTGTTTTCCAACACTCTCACCCCGAGTAAAGCAGAACAGAAACGGAATCTCCAATGATCTTGTAGTTTCCTATTGTCAGCCTGCGTTTGGAACATAATATAATGCAGGTTTTTGCCTTATCTGCTTGTTCACCTTTTTCCAGTAGGAGATATTTAAAGACAGCAGTCATCTTACCTTTGATCCCTAGCAACTATATGTCTACTCGATGTATGTCTCACTACCTCATTAGTGAATGTGGCTTGAAATAAAGAGACCCCCAAATTCCCTTAGTCTATCGCTTTTATTGACTCTACTTTGTTCAAGTTTCAGAGTATGCTATCAGCTGATATTCTGAGGTTGGCTGACAGATCCACTTAACCCTGTGCAGTGAATTAGGGTTGTGTGTGTGTGTTAGGTGTCTTTGTAGTCTGTACCCTGATACTCAGAAGTGTCCACAATTTGTGGTTTAGTCTATCAATTCCATTTCTCCCACCCCCTGCCTAAGCACTCTTGTTACCCTTTTCCCTACAAGATATTTTCTTATAGTCTGTGGGATTCTTTGACATTCTGTTGCAATTATGTGATCATAATTCACGCATTGTAATCCTATCACATGGGATTCCACCACATTTCAAAGAATGGTGGGCATGATACAAAATGAAAGAAGCCAGACACAGAAAGACAGTGTATGATTCTATTTACGTATACTATGGAGAGTAATCAAGAGGATAATTCAGAAGTTATACTGGAAACCGCAAAGGCCAGAGAAAGGGGAGGGGGTGGATGAGAAGCATAAGCCCACTGCTTAGTGGGCGTGGAGTTTTCCGTTTACTAGATGAATGGATTTCTAGAGATGGATGATGGTAGTGATTGCATTATGTTACAGCATCAACTGAAATTGATATATTTAAAGTGGTTAATATGGGAAGTTTTGTTATGTGTTTGACCACATATAAATAAATGAGGGCAAGGAAGCAAAGCCTTTTCATAGGGTTCTGAGATCCATTTAGAGAGCTGTCCTGAAATAGCCATTCTTGTTGCTGCAAGGATGAGAGATAATATTCTGCCTGGTGTTTGGGGCATGTTAGTTGCAAATTAAACTAGATTTTTAAAAAATGAAGATACATATTCAAAATATTCATTTATTTTAAAGTAATTGACTAAGAGTAGGCATAACATGAAGATAAATGATGTACTGCCTGTACCCTGTATACATCAAGGGTCTGAACAAAGGTCTAATTCATCTCTAGGACAGAAATAGGTGTATAAATCTAGTTATCACTGGTTCATGGATAAGTACCAGTGAAGACTATCCAGTGTAGTATATGACTTTTTGAATTGCTTTCGAGCATAGTGAAACTGTCTCTGGCATCTGCCTGTAATTGTTGAAGGCAGAATAATAGGGCTGGAGAGATGGTTCAGCAGTTAAGAGCACTGGCTGCTCTTCCAAAGGTCCTAAGTTCAATTCCCAGCAACCACATGATGGCTCACAGCCATCTGTAATGAGATCTGGTGCCCTCTTTTGGCCTGCAGGTATATAGATAGAAAACTGTATACAAAATAAATAAATCTTTAAAAAACCAAAACCAAACAAACAAACAAAAAGAGAAGGCAGAATAATAGCTCCTCCAATGTCAAAGTCTGAATTGTCATAGCCTGTGAACATCTGCTTTCTTGTAGACAAGGAAAATTTAGAAGACATGCTTAAATTAAGGAGTTTAATATGGGGAAACCAACCCAAGATATTTCTGTAAATTAGTTACATTTTTATAGCTGTAAACAGAATACCCATGAGAACAACCTAAAAGAGGAATGAATTACTTTAACTCACAGTTTGAGGAGATTTTGTCCATAATTATTTGGCACCATATCACTGGCCTGTGGTCAGGAAGAACATATGGCTGCAGGAGCATATGGCAAGGGCTGTTTGCTGCACAGCAGACAGGAAGGAGAAAGCACAAGTGAGAAACTGAGAGAAGAGAGGAAGAGCGAGGGAGGGAGAGGGAGAGGGAGAGAGGGAGAGGGAGAGGGAGAGGAGAGGAGAGGAGAGGAGAGGAGAGGAGAGGAGAGAGAGAGAGAGAGAGAGAGAGAGAGAGAGAGAGAGAGAGAGAGCGCAACACACAATAC